ACCTATAATCTGAATATAGATTACAGTCCACCTATAATCTGAATATAGATTACGGTCCAACTATAATCTGAATATAGATTACGGTCCAACTATAATCTGAATAAATTACAGTCCACCTATAATCTGAATATAATTACAGTCCACTTATAATCTGAATATAAAGAACAGTCCACCTATAATCTGAATATAGATTACAGCCAATCTATAATCTGAATATAGATTAGTCCAACTATAGCCCGATTAAAACCAGCATATTTAACATTTAGTCTGAATTTATCAAGATTAAAGTTGGATTATTATCAGATTACCATCCAAGATGTTTATTTGAAGTGTCTGCTTCAATCAGCTGAGGGGGGATCACAGAAGACAGAAGACGTTTCCCACAATGCAACACTGTTACCTGTAGTTTTCAGGTCAGGGTGGGGCTGAGTCTGGGTGGCGTGGAGGTGGGGGGCGGGGTCACTCTGAGGCAAAGGGAACCTCTGGAGGTGGGGGTTTGACGGTGACGGGCTGAGACGTTCGGCGTGGGGGCGAGGGTTTGGGCTGAGCCTGCTGCTGCATCGTGTCGTAGTACGTGACGCCGCCGTAGGTCACCTGGGCCTGACCCTGGAACATGCACAGGTGAACACGTCAAACACGCTCCACAGTCAACTTTTACTGTTTGAACATAGCGCCCCCTGCAGATGACACACATCAGCTGCTAACCTGTGGGCTTGGGTACATGGCCGGGTACGGAAAGGTCACGACCCCTGGCGGAGGGTAGAAAGGAGGAGGCAGCAGCTGCTGCGGTTGCCCCGGCGACAGAGAAACAGGTGGGGCTCCATAGAGGGCGGGGTTAGCGATGGGGGCTCCTGATTGGTGGGGATGTAGACCTGCAGACAGGAACAGAACAAATATTTTTATTTTTCTTGTTTATTTAAGATCAGTTTGAACTTTGAGGACTCTGACCAGGATGAGGGATGTGCATCTCAGGCTGGACCAGCATGCCTTGCGGCGGGATGGGGGCGGCGCCGTCACTGTAGATTGGTCCCTGGTACGACACTGAGACGGAGACAAAGGAGGCGATTCAGAGCAGAAAGCTGGAGACTCTTCGGTCGGACAGAGAACTGATTTAAACATCGGATCAAAGATCTTCTCTTTGTTTACGGATTTTAATCAAACCGGTTTCAGAACATGAAACCGGACCTTACCGAGCCCGAAGACAACCAGAACAGTTTAAAACAATCATTAATGTGAGGGTTCACTGGTCTCTGCAGGTGACCAGCATCTGGTTCTGCTGGGTTCTGTTGTTACACAAGCCAGGCTGCAGCTCCATCAGAACAGAACCCACCGGGCCTCAGCTTCTGGAAACATTAGTGTGGTTGGAGGCTTACTGGGCTCGTAGTAGTGCCCCTCCATCACTCCCAGGTGGATGGGCGGCGCCGGTTCTGGAACAGCTCTCTGGCGCTGGGACGAGTAGCGTTTGGCCCGGTTGGCACCGACGCCCATCTCCTCCATGTTGGAGAACGGAGGCGGGCCGCCGCTCATGTGCAGGGGGTTTGGAAGGCCTGGGGAAGTGAACAGAACTTAGTCTGGTCCAGTTGGGACACAGAACCAGCATGGGGTTCTGATTCCACTTCAAACCCAAAACAGCAGCTTAACTTAACTGGGACACAGGATCGAGTCAGGGGATTGGAGGAAACCATAGACCACAGCCAGTCTAGACCGGGTCAGAACCGCTGGACTTACCTCTCATCTCTGAGCGCATGTAGGACGTCGGGCTCTGACTCCAGTTCTGTTGGGCCAGACTGAGCCGAGCCACATCCTGGTCCAACTCTGCCAGTCCAGCGCCTCCTCTTCCTGCCGCCGCCTGACCTGAGCTATCTGCCCCGCCCACCCAGCCCTTCCCTCCCCGACCGCTGGGGGAGGTGGTGCTCCCCCCGGATGCAGACTCCTCCACAGAGGGCTGCTTGCTGCCCAGGTCCGCGGGCCGTGAACGAGTCCTGCGGGCCAGAGAGTAGGATTTCCGCTCCACTGGCCGCTCGGTGGGAGAAGCTTCCTGATTGGCTGCAGCAGACTGGAGGGAGGGGTCAGAAGGGGGGGCAGCCGGTCCAGGTGCAGACTTGTCGGCACCATCTCGCTGCTCCTGCCGTCTGGGTGACTGGTACCCGCCCAGTGGAGGGGAGGCAGCCGAAGCTGCAGAGGCTGAGCTTAGTTCCTCCTCTCCTGCCTCCCCAGGACTGATTAAAACCTCCTCGATGACCACTGCCGACCCTCCTCGTCCTCCAGGACCCCGCGCTCCCCTGCTGGCCCCTCCCCTCTCTCCTGCGGGTTCTGGTGGAGCTTTAGAACCCGAACGCTCCCTGGGATCGGCCGGAGGTGCGTTTGATTCGTTGCGCCTGTACTCCAAATGATGGGTTTGGTTATGGTGGGGCGGTCTGCTGCGGGAAGGGGGAGGCCTGGAGGAGTTCCCGCAGCGCTGAGAAAGAGGAAGAGGAGGGAAGGCAGATGATGAAGAGGAGGGAGGGACAGATGAAGGTGGAACAGATCCTCCTCGGTTCTGCCAGGACCGGGTCGGTCTTGGTCCTCCTCCGTCCCTCCACCGTTTGTCCCTGTTTGGAGAACCGGGTCTGCAGAGACAAAAACAGGACCAGTTCGTTTATCTGACGGACAGGAAGCTGGCCCCGCCCACCGATGCATCAATCTGTGTCTTTAAAACCAATTTGGGCCGGAGCGGCTCGGTGGACTCACCGGGGTCGTCTCTGTCGGTACGCTCGGTCTCCGGAGCCGCCGCCGTTCCTGATGTCATAACCGTAGATGGCGATGAGCTCCTCGCGGCTCTTTGGCGCCTGCTCCTCCTCTCTGAACCGGTCATGCTCCCAGCGGCCCTCGTCCTTCCAGAGCTTCCTGTTCCGACCTTTGGGCCTGAGGGGGACACAGAACTTGCTGATTAGAGCTCCTAGGTCCAGACCTCTGAAGAACTGAAGCGCCGTGGGGGGTCAGCTCACCGCTCCTCCTCCTGAGCGTGGCCACGGACGTCGTGCTCGAAGAACAAACCCTTCCTGGGGATGTAGGCCGGGTTTTTCCTGTCCTCGTCATCATCGAGCTGCTGACCCGGTTTTCCTCCCGCCTTTGTCTCTGGATCATCAGTGGACTCCTGCAAGTGTTTTTACGGGTTAATGACAATCGGTTCTGATCGGGCCTTTCACAGAATCTGTTGTTTCAATTAATCTACAGATCTGTGGCAGAAATAAGACTTCTTAAAGTTAAACCCCCCTGAAGGTCCAGTAAAATCCACACAGAACCTCCCCCTCAGCCCTGTTCTGTTCCAGAACAAACTGGTAACAATGTTCGGTTCTGACCAGAATGAGTCTAAATGTTAGAACCCATGGAAAACTGAATGTTTTCTACAAACGGACATTTGGACTAGTTTTGGACATTTGGACTGGGCCCACCCCAGTCCCGATGCCATACTCGGCCTCCATTCCAGTTCCAAAGCCCGACCCAGTTCTGGTCCAAAAACGGCAACTTTTCTAAACTCTCGATGGAAACACTCGGAAGCTTCTACTGGCTCAGTGAGCTGTCATTCAAAGGATGATCAAAAGTTTCCATAGCAACCAGAATGATGAGAGAAGACCAAACAGCAGCATTCTAAAGAACTGATGTGTGGGTCTAAAGGTTTGGACCGGTTCTGATGGGAGAATCTGGATGAGTGGATTATCTGGAGGATGTATTTGTGATTGGACCCATTGTGTTTTGATCAGAATGAATCGAACAAATCGAATCAGAACAATAGAGTTCCCGTCAGTTTATCACAGCTGTCGACCCGGTAAAACCCACAGAACACAAACTGGTCAATGATCCGATCCTCCGACAGCCTCACCTGTCCGTCACCGCTCTGCCTCTCTCCAGCGAGGTTTTCTTTCTCCTCTCTTTTCTCTTCCTCTTTACTGTGTCCTCCTGCCTTCCCCTCAGCCTCGTCTCCGGCCTCGGCCGTCTCCTCCTCCTCCTCATGTGTCGGGTCGTCAGCAGCTGGAGGTTTGGACTCGCTGGCTGCTGCAGCTGGAGGTTCTTCTTCACTGTAACCCTCCTCCTCATCCTCCACTCCCTGACAGAAGAAGCAAGCCAGGATGAAGACGTTAACCAGCGATTAGATAGATCCAAAAAGCCCTTCATTTACTATTAAAAGCATCCAGAAGGCCCGTCTGTTCGGTTCCGTTTACCTCAGAGTGGGAGGCGTTCTCCTCTGGGTCGGCGCTGTCGTAGTCCGAGAGGACAGCTGATCAGAAAACAGAACCGTCAGAAACTGTGACGGAACGATAATCAGACAGAAAACGAGCTGAACATCAGTCTCACCTTCTCCTGCTCCGTCTTCGCTCTCCTGCAGACAGACAGAACCAGAATCAGACAGACAGAACCAGAATCGGACAGTAGAAAACATGATGCAGGTTCTGCTTCATAGGACCGTTTCACCGTCTACCATCTGGTAAAAGTACCGAGCTAAAACCAGAACCTTTCACCGCATCAAGCTCAAAAACATTTCTGATACGAGCGACGATTCTGTTAAGTTTTCCGGGTCGCTCCGAGGTAAGAAGCTGGAGGAAGACGGGTCATCAGCTGAAGGATCGGCACCACAGACAGAACCAGCAGGAAATTAAAGGACACAGATGGAAGCAGTTGGTCTGAACAGAACTCTCAGGATCTGTCTGACACTACCTCGGACCGGTACCAACAGCTCTGCTGTGGTCCAAAAGAACCAAAACGTTCTGTTCTGACTGAGCAGACGCGTTCCCTCTGTGGTTCCTGCAAGTTCGTGATTAATGATGATTTTTCTCACGATGATTTCAACGTCTCTGCAGACGTTTTCATCACTGGTTCTGGTCCATTTCCACTCGGTTCTTCTCTGTACGGATTCTGCTACAGCCACATCCTGAATACTTGTCCAGACCTGGGACAGAATCATGCACTGTACGAGTTATTTATGGTTTAACTGAGGGGATGAATAATAATAATGAATAACTGGATCTTAAACTCCTTGCAGCTGTGCTTCCAGCAGACTCGTCTGAAAGCAGCTAATAACGCTAATGTTTTTAAATAACTCTTTTGTAATAAAAGATTTTGGTTTTAATTTAAATCACTGTTTGATGAACTACAGGAAGTGAACCTTACTGTTCTCTTGAACCAGACTGGATTACTTTAAATATTTTTTTTGTATCTGAAGGTCGTGAGGACACTTTCACTGAATTAACTGCAAACAGCAGTTGAACCCACAGATTTAGAACCCTTCACAATAAGAGCCTCTAAACACCTGTAGTTATGAAAACAGATTAATTATTGTTCTTCGGTACAAGTGACACCCAGAAATTCAGTTTTCTTCTCGTTAACTCGGGTGAAGATGAACCTCGTTAACTTCTGCAGGGATTCTATTTTAATTGTTTATGTGTCCTGATGCTCAGTAATCCAGGTAGATAATGTAACCAGGTGGAGTCAGGTCCTCTGGATGGATTCTTCTTGTTGAATCATTTCATCTTTTATTCAAAGGACTTCTTCAGTCTGAGGAGCTGCAACAAACTCAGTCTTATAAATAGCACTTTCTCATAGTGGATCAACCAGTTTGTTGTTGACATCCAGAACTAGCTGTTCACATGATCAAGGAGGATCATCAGCCTAACGACCGATCGTTAGTGCCCTGATGACTAGGGCTGGGCCAAATCATATCGTTCATATTAATACCAGTAAAAAAAAAAGCTTGTCCGGGAAAATAAATTATATCATGATATGCTAATTTCATGACGAAAGTACGTCAGTGTTTGTCCCCCCCGTTAACAGAACCGAGCGCGCCAAACTACCGAACCGAACTGCACACCCCCATCCACCTGTCGGTACTGACATAACGTTAATTAGCTGCACACAATACTAGCTAGCTAAAATGCTAAAAACAAACAACATGCAGCTCGGCTGCGTTTCTCCACCCAGCTCTAAACTGCGGGTACAGACAGTGACAGCTCAACTGTCTCTCCCTCCCCCCCACCAGCGCAGCTCGGCTTTTTTCTCTCCCCCCACCCCGCTCTGGGCTGCCAGTGCGGGCGCAGCTCGGCTGGGTCTCCCCCAGCTGTAAACTGTCGGTACAAACACGCGCAGCTCAGCTGTGTCTCTTAGTACCACAGTCCATGGACCAAGAAAAGAGGCAGGTGATCAAAGACAGAGCATCAGAGAAATTTAATAATTCCTGAAGGAACAGAGGAAGTTGAAACACCACAAGTTTCAGGGTCAGCTGAAGATACCTTTCACAAATTTTGGAAGTTATAGCTCATTTAAAGGCAACATATTTTTTGTTGTATGTTACATTTATGCTCAACAGATGTTAAGCTTCATTTTATTTATCTAAAATAGTCAGGTCCTCTGGATGTTCAACGTCCAGAGGACCTGACTTAACTTTTTTAGATTTTTCTACCTGGATTATAGCACATTTAAAACAGAAACTGTTACTTTTAGATAAAAGATGAAATGTTTCAACACGAAGAATCCGTCCAGAGGACCTGACTCAGCCTGGTCAGGCTGATTATGTGGCTTAAACTTGTTTAATAATTTAGTTTGAATCAAAGCACTGTGTTTAATTTATTTATTTATTTTTACTGCAACTAAAAATAACACTTTGTTCTAATTACATTAACAGCTTTTTATTTGAGACTTTTAACTCATTTATTTTAATATAAAATCTGAACGAACATCTTCAGAGTGATGATTTCATAGGTTAAATTTGAGGTGAAGTGCAGAGATGGGAGAAGAACATGATTTGATATTACAGATTCCAAGTATATATGGTTTGGTACGTGAGTATTACAGATCAACGGCATGCTTGTGAATTAAGACCTATTTGCACGGGATTAGTTTTACGTAGGGACCACGTGCTATTTGTAATAATTACAGAGATTGTTTCCCTTTGGTTTAATAGCATTTAGGACAAGTTTGAGACGGAACAAATCTGACTGGATGATGTCGAATGCTGACTGTAGAAGCTCAAAAACCTTAGCAACTGTTCTAGCTCAACATTAAACAACTGTGTCGTCAACATAGAAATGTATGGATGCATCAGGAATCATCTGACCTACATTACTTATGTAGACTGTGACGGGTGGGTCCTAAGACTGAGCCTTGTGGTACACCATTGTTAATGGTTAAATAACTGGAGGAAGTACCATTATGTTGAACACATTGCCTCTGGTCTGAAAGATAGTTAGAGAACCAACCAATGGTGTGTGTTCTGAGAAACCGATTTCCGAGAGTTTATGACAAGATGTTATGATCCAGTGTCAAAAGCTTTAGACAGGTCTAAGAAAAGTGCAGCACAATAATCCTTAGCATCCAGTGCTTCAACGTCATTAAAAACCTTCAGTGAAGCAGTGGTTGTGCTGTGTTGTTTCCTGAAACCAGATTGATGATGAGGTAAGATGTTAAATGAGTCCAGATACTTTTTGATTTGAGAGTTGGTCAGTTTTTCTGGAAACTTGGCAAAGTTTAGAGATTGGTCGATAGTTGTTCAGTGAGGTGGGGTCACCTCCCTTCAGCAAAGGAAGAACAAAGGCTGTTTCCCAAGCGTCTGGAATGGAGTTTCGGCTTATGGAAAGGTTAAAGATGTGGGACACTGGTACTGCGATGATATGAGCGGCCAGCCTTAAGAAATAAGGTGGAAGTTCATCTGGTCCTGCAGATTTTTTAGAGTCTAGACCTTTTAACAGTTTATTAATCTCATTAATTGACAACGGGGAAAGAGAAAAGGTGTGATTTACAGAAGATTGACTTGTAGGAGACATATGGTTTGTAGATGTTTGACTTAAAAAAGAAGTGGCTGATTTTCCATTAGAAACTGTGTCAAATAAAGAACTGGAATCAACAACAGGTTTGTTGAAACAGTTCAGGATCTTGTGCTTATTTGACACGTGCAGAAGCAAAGTTAACCAGAAGTTGTGATGGCAGGTCAGATGAATGAGAGCTGCCAGAGAGATGGTTTTCCAGAATCTTTTAGGATCGTTTAAAGATCCTAAAAGATTCTGGAAAACCATCAAAGATCTAAACTTTAGTTCTTTGGACATATGAATGACGTAAAGTGGCTGATTGAAACACCTTTATGCAACAGCGGCAGAACAAAAGTCAAACATGATTTATTGAACTCGAAAAGTAAAGTTTTCAGATGTTTAATAAAGATATTATCCATCTGATGAATGAGCCTCAGAGGAGGTCCAGGTTCGATCAGAACAAACGGACACCGATATATATATATATATATATTTTCGCAGTCATTAAACCCAGAGGGTCACATCCTCTGTGGAGTTCAGCCCGGGCCCGCTGGAGGTTCGGGCCCACACTGCCAGCTCCGTACCCAGATTCAGTTCGACTGAAACCCAGTTTGGATCTGTTTGATTCTGCTCGGATCTCCTCTGATCCGGACTGAGGGGAACACACTTTGTAACCGGATAAAAAAGGTCCAACTGGCGCCTCGTCGTCTCCCAACACCAAACCGAGCATCGGTAAATCCACCGGATGACTCATAATTAACGGCTATACAGAACCGAACCGGAGCTGTCGGACACCACAGGTTTACTGTGAGCGGTACCAGTGAGAACTCCCAGCGCGCGTTCGGACCTGAGTGCTGGGGGACCGACGTTAGCTCCAGCGGTTAGCCTGGACAGCTACTCACACACTCGGACTCCACGTCTCTCTTCGGTTCGGTCCGGCCCACTTCCACCACCACCGGGTCGGGATCCCGGACTCGAGCCTTCGGGTCAGGAGAACCCGACTTCCCGCTGTCCGAACCTGAGCCGGACTCGTCGTCCTCCTCGCTGTCCTGAGACGCGCGTCTCCTCCTCCTCCGCCGGTCCGCCATCTTAGAACTGGAATGGTTGGAAGCGGAAGAAGAAATGCATCATGGGTAATGGAGTTCATGAAGGTCTCCTGTTTTGATTAGCAACTTCCTCACAGCTTATTGATCTCTACTGCCACCTTCTGAGTACTGTATATTACATTACAGTATTTATATTTATAAATAATATTTGTAGCAACCCAATAAAGTTTTATTGACTTGTTTTAATTTGAGCAGTAATTTACAACAACTTGGATTTTTCTACCTGGATTACTGAGCATGCATCAGGATATTTACAACAACTTGTTTTTACTATGATGTGATCTACAGACAAGCTGTTTGTGTAGGAACACTGTAATAAAGGGCAAGTGTGATTAACACCAAACACTTGGTGCCACTACTTCAACTCAAGGTTCTTTATTGTCATTCACATGTGGTACATGAGTTGGAACGAAATTGTGTACACAAGGTCCCAGTTACATCCAACAACAGCAAAAATATAAATGGTAAAATAAACAGTAAATAAGGATCTAAGATATAAACTAAGAAATACGTTAAACACTAATAGTACAAAACGATACGCCAAACAACAGCAGCATGAACACGAGTCTGTGTGAGCAGATGAGTACGAATGAACGCAGCAGAATCAAATAAATCAGCAGCATGAGATCAGCAGCATGGATAATCAGCAGCACATAGCAACAATCAAAGTGGCATTACAGCCATTTTTGTTCACAGTGATTATCCTGATTAGGGATTTATGAGTCTAACAGCTTCAGGGTAGAAGTTGTTCCTCAGTTAGGTCTGCAACCTTTATGATCAAAAGAGCCATTTCTGCCCCTTCGTTGGCTAAATTAAACGTGTCCAGAGCCGCAAAACCTGCTACAATTGTCATTATCAAATGGTGATGGGCCATGAATCACCATGCATGGGCCAGTTTAAGGTTGTTAAAGTGGGGGGTTTCTGGACAGTAGGCGTGAATTTATCAAACATCTGATGATTATTTATTAACCTTTATTTAACCAGGCAAATCCCATTGAGATCACAGATCTCTTTTGCAAGGGAGGCCTGGGCTTGAAGGCAGACTAACATGCATGTTTTTAGTCTGTGGGAGGAAAGGGGAGTACCTGGAGAAAGGCCACGCAAGCATGAGAAGAACATGCAAACTCTACACAGAAAGACCCCAGGTCCAACCGGGGATTGAACCCAGAACCTTCTTGCTATGAGGCAACAGTGTTAACCATTGAGCCATCATGCTGCCAGATCTGATGATTGTCAACATTGATATTTTGACACTTTGAGACAAAAGAAAAGACTGGATTCCATCCATCCATCCTTTATCTTTACCCACTTCTTCCTTTTCAGGTTGCAGGGGGTCACTGGTGCCCATAACCAGGTCGCAAGTCTATCACAAAAGACTGGATTCTTATAAAGAAAAATAAATATATTTTGCCTTTTTTTTTTTTTAACTAAAACAATGAACTGTGAAGGCTTGTGGGTTTTTTTATTGTGGAGAAAATGAGTATCCTATTGTGAATAATAAAGCATAAATTTAAAGGGAGATCCCATACGACGATGTTAAAACTTATTTGGCCAATAACTGATACCAATATTGATATTTTTTCCCAAGACCTACTTACAGAGACTACATAGCTTTCTCTGTTGTGGATTTAAAATACTACATTATTCTGCTTGGTCTTTGTCAATTTGGCCTGCTACCAAATGCAGATGCCAAAAACGGTGCTGACAATGATGTAACACTTCAACTTGGATTATGTTTAATGTCACTGGGTTGTTATATAAAAACAGTGCCTTATATATACAATATATATATATATATATATATATATATATATATATATATATATATATATA